AGAATCCTTTTCCCCTTTGGAGACAGCTGATCTCCATCAGTTGCCAGCAGGCCTGGTGCTGTGTAAACCTCCCCATGATGGAAAAAACCAAAATTCCACTGATGGCACCAGCCTCTGAGCCACCTGTTAATCAGGTGAGTGTTCCCATTCCTTTCAGCATTCTTTGCTGCCATTGACGGGATTGAGGAAAACACTACCTGTGCTCCTGATCCTGCAACCAATTGCCCCAGTGCCCTGAAGTCCCTCTTGATTGCTTTAGGACTTCTCTCTGTAATCTCATCACTGCCAACCTGTACAACCAGCAACAGGTAATAATCTTGGCTGTGTGCAGTAGCATTGAATTAGGTTACCAGAGCCTACTGCTTCCCAGCAGACTCTATTCTCATACTTGAATAATTGTACTAGGATGGCTTAATTTGTGCAACCCAGAGTCCCACTTTCCATCTTTTATATTGAAGGCACACAGTATGCTGACTTTAAAGAAAAAAATCCTTATAGGTACTTGAAGCTATGCGCTATTGAGAGGGAAAGGTAAGATGTCAAGAGTGCTGAGGTATTTCTGTTGGAAGATCTGACACTTCCCCATTAGGGGAAATTGTCTGTTATTCTATGAAAATACTTGTGGTGGGTTGACCTTGGCTGGCTGCCCACCCAGCTGCTCTCTCACTCTGCTCCTCAACTGGACGGAGGGTGAGAAAAGATGAAAAAGTTTGTGGGTCAAGACAGGGAGATCACTCACCAGTTACTGCAACAAGCAAAACAGCCTTGACTTGGGGAAGAGTAATTTAATTTCTTGGCAATTAAAATAAATTTGCGTGGTAGGAAAACAAAGACAAAAACTAAAACACCTCCCCCCACCTTCTTCCCATTTCCCAGGCTCAACTTCACACCTTCATTCCCAGTTCTTTTGCCTCCTGCTCCGCCCTGGTCTCCCCAGGGCAGCAGCCAGAGCTGCTCCTCCTTTTCTCCTCCTGCTCTGACCTGGCTGCTGCAGAGCTGTTTCTCACACTTTCCTCATGCAGCAGTTTGTCCCTTTCTTGGATATGCTTTCACAGAGGTGCCACCTGCTTTGCTGGCTGGCTCAGCTGTGGCCTCTGTGGGGCCACTGTGGAAACGGCTGGAACTAGCCCCAGCAGTGTCCTGCATGGGGAGTCCCCAACCTCTTCTCACAGAGGCCACCCTGGCAGTTCCCCCACTGCCCACACTGGGACACAGCCACCCAAAATAAACATGAAGCCATTCAGTGGACTTTGGGTATTTCTGGAGGACATTTTTACTCAGAAGGTGACTGATTTGTTGTGCAGCACTGCTGGGTTGGTGTGGTAGTGGTACCTTTGTGTTATGCTGTGGAGAAACTCAGTTCTTGGGCACACTAATGTGAGAAAGATAAATACTTGCATATGAATAAATGCAATTTTTACCTTATGGTGCTACATGTAAGGCTTTTTGTAGATGAAATCTTCAAAGGGATATCCCATTCCCATTGAATTTCAGTGAGATTTGGTCCTTGAACACCCTCAGGCTCCTTTTTGTGGTCTAGTTAAATTACTGTGAAGCTAAACCTTTACTTAGACATGGCTGGTGACAAAACTGCGGAAAATACTTTTCAACTTCTTTGGCTTAAGTTCTTAACTGCTGAACTTCTAATTTTAAGATAGGAAATCTTCTAAGTTGACAGGAAAAAAAACATCATTATAAGTAGTCCTGTAAGTAGTAAATTAAGATGTCATATAGACAATAAACTTGAGAGTGGAAGGCATATAAGAAGCCTTCTCCTCTCCTTGTTACTATCTCCTGTGTAAGTACTAGAGGGCATCTGTGTTCCACTGCAAGTGAATCAGTGGCTCCTACAGAATATGGTTCAAACTGTATTTATTTGGATGTACCAGGCAGAGAGACAATCTTGATTTTTGCCACTTCTGTGCTAAATACTCCTTAAGGATAGGAGCAACACTGGAGAAGTGAACAGAGGTTAGCTACATGTCTCTTCCCATTTTTGAGGACTCCGAAGACTTCTGTTTTGTTGTTGACACCTACTTGTTTCTAAAACTACTTTAGTTTTTAAATTGGTACTTTTATTATTGGTTTTATCTGTCCTTATACCAGCTGTGCTTAGCACTATGCTATCAAGTATTAAGTTTTTGAAAGAGTTGGAGAGTGGCTTAATTTTTTTGAACTTTTTTGAATCTTCACTTGGACTTCAAAACTTTGGTGTCATCTTCAGAATACCTCTAACTTTTTATTTTTCTAACTTTTCTGTTTGCATTTTCAGGCCTTCCCAGGTTCACCAGTCAGCCAGAATCATCGTCTGTCTATAAAGGAAACAGTGCAATCCTTAACTGTGAAGTCAATGTTGACCTTGCACCATTTGTAAGGTGGGAGCAGGATCGTCAGCCAGTCTTTCTGGATGATCATGTATTTAAATTGCCAAGTGGAGCTCTAATTATTAGCAATGCTACTGATATGGATGGAGGACTCTATCGCTGCATCATTGAAAGTGGTGGGACCCCCAAATACAGTGACGAAGCAGAGCTCAAAATTCTTCCAGGTATTAATCTGTTTTTCCTTTAAAAAAAAAATAAATAAAACATCAGTGAAGTGATAGGGAGGGAAAAAACAAGAATACTTATAAAGGGGAACATGTGAGAATGCAACTGTTGCATTTTTGTATATTTTAAGTGGAACTAAGTGTAATGTGTGCTGTGGAAGTTGGTGATTGGGGGTAGGTTTTCTTTTTTTTTTGATTTTTTTCTGTGTAGCTTAAAATGAGTGCAGGCACTTAAGCTAAAGGATTTTGGCCCTTGGGAAGACTAACCTATATCTTGCAGTTGGGAAACAGGAAAGCAAAATCAGTTATTAGTGTCTGAGCTGTTTGTAATGGTTGGAGATAGGGTGGAGACATGAACATATTTTTTTGCCATATTTAATGGTGTAGCTTTTAAGGGCTTCTTGGGAAAGACTTTTAAAAAGTCACTAGTGATACGCTTCAGTTGTGACATGTTACAAAAATAGAATTGACTGTTTACAAAAGTTTAGGGATTTCTAAGTTCCTCAAGCTTGAATCCCATGTTTAAAATAGTGTTCAAATTTCCAGAAGAAATTGGTGCTTAGTCCCTCGCTCTAGGGATGCTTAAGCTGAGGCACTTCTAATTTTCCCAATGTTTAGGAAGGTATGATTCTTTAAACATTGGACCCTTTTGGGAAGTCTCCAGACCCCAAAAAGGGGGGATGACTTTTTATTTTGAAAGGTTTACCTATGCCTGTTGTGCTGAAATGTTTATATTTTTTTAAGAAGTCCAGTCCTGATGTAAACTGTTTCCACATTTAGTGTGTTCTGTTTCTAATGACAGTATTGCAGAGAGCTGTGTGTCATCAGATGTTCTAACACAAAGTTTTGAAAATTGACCAAGAATAAGACAGGAATGTGAATCGCACTTTCCCAAACTAGGGAAATACAGGCTGTGTTTTGTATGGGGTTTCTTAATTATTTCCAGAACTTCGTGCTGCCTCTTCTGAATTAGTCTTCATGTTGGAATTCAATTTTTATTGTTTGGAGAACTGCCAGAGAAGTTTGATAAATTTCCATCTTCGGAGGTTTTCAGGGCTAGGCTGGGCAATGTCATGGTTGGCCTGACCTAGTGTTGGCAACAGGTGGACTTCAAGATGGTGGTTGCACTAGGCATCTTCAGAGATCTCTTTCAATAAATACTTCCATTTCTCATGACTAATGTCACTTTTCTATTTCAAATGCTAAAAAGTACTTTAAAATACCCCAATTCTACAATTGCAACCTTCCTTCTGTTAAAATTCAGGTGTTTGCTAGGCTTTGGGAATTAATCATGCTTAAAGTAAGAATTTGTTTCATTAAGTTCTTTGGACTTTCTCAAAAGAAAGGCTCATCTCTCCTTCAAGTAAGGCTACGGTTTTTGAAGAGGAGCACTTTTGAAAAAGATCCTTAATTTAATTATTTTAGTTTGTTTTGCCTTCATGTTTCTGTAGCCCCTCAAATGAATGCTTAAGACTTTTATAATTTTTGGCAATTGAAGATTTACTGATAAACTTCCATATTGTGTTGACCTTTTGAATCCTTTTAGCCCCAGATGTAGTTTACTTGCTTTTGTAATGTTTTGCTGAAGGTGATTAAAGGTAACTCTATTAGGGAATACAAATAATGCTCTTTCCTTGCTGTCTGGGTTTTGGCTGGGATAGAGTTAATTTTTTTCCTAGTAGCTGGGGCAGTGCTGTGTTTTGGATTTACTTTGAAAATAATGTTGATAACACACTGATGTTTTAGTTGTAGCTAAATAGTGCTTACTCTAGTCAAGGACTTTTCAGCTTCCCATGCTCTGCCAGGTGCACAAGAAACTGGGAGGGAGCACAGCCAGAATAGTTGATCCAAACTGACCAAAGGGCTATTCCATACCATATGACATCATGCTCAGTATATAAACTGGGGCGAGTTGGCCACATCGCTGCTTGGGAAGCAGCTGGGTATTAGTCAGTGGGTGGTGAGCAATTGCATTGTGTGTCACTTGCTTTGTATGATGTTGTTGTTATTTGCCCTTCATTTTCTGTCCTACTAAACTGTCTTTATCTCAACCCATGAATTTTACTTTTTTTCCCTTGATTCTCTCCCTATCCCCCTGTGGAGGGGGAGAGTGAGCGAGCGGCTGTGTGGTGTTTAGCTGCCTGCCGGGTTAAACCACAACACTTGCTTGGTCATGAGTCTGAAAGTGTTGATAGTGAAATCCCTTCCAGCAGGTGTGTGTGTGGTTTTGGTTTGGTTTTTTGTGTGTGTGTTTTTGTTGTGGGTTTTTTTTTTTTTTTTCTTTTAAAGTGGGATCAAACAGAAAACTCTCTTAATCTTGAGTGGCCTTTGAGTGGCCCCATAATTGATTGTTTGGTCTGAGATGTATTTGAAAGAAGGATTCGAATTAATCTGTTCTTCATTCGTTTTATTCCATTTTTAAATCGTTGTCTGATGTGTACCTGACAGTGAGCCCACTGCTTTGCTTCTAAATCTTTGAAATACACCCAACACACATTTGCATCACACACTTGCATCCACAGATAGTGTTCTACTTTTTCTGATAGCAAGCTTCCATAGAATGTTCAGTCTGCCTTTCATTTTGCTACCTAGCAAGCAGGAGGATACATTTCTGAGCTCTGCTACTTGATAGGAGGTGCTTTCAAATAGAGGAATGCAAGGGGGAGGGGAGAAACCACTTAATTTTTGAATCCAGTTTCCACTAACCTGAGAACTGAACTCCTTTTTGTGAGCTTTGAGCATTGAGTTCTGTCTCCAGTGAATCATACTGACTCCTCTCCCTAGTGTAGTGATTGCTTGCTGGCACCCTTACATCCATTTTTTGCAACTTGGCTTGCTCCATATGCCACTCCAGGTCTCTCACTGCGTTACCTGCCTGTTCACACACGGTCTTATTTCTGTAGCAAGCAGACTAGTTTCCTCTAACAGGGAATGTGGGCAGAGCTGCTGTGGTAGTTTGTGTGTGGGCCTGAGACAGATGGTGTGATCCAGGTCTGCTCTAAGTTTGGCTCCCTCTGCCCGGGACGGTTCTGAAACATGATTTCCATCAGGCCTGGTTCTCTCAAATACCCTGGCAATCTCACCATGTTATACCTTGGAGCACGTGCATGCTCTTAGCATAGCACTGTAAACACTTGGTTATTGTTTTTAGCACTTTAAGCTGAAGAACACCAAACCCACCAACTTTTCTAGAAGCTCCTGTGAGTATCGCACAAAACCCTCTCCAGCCCAATTCAAAGCAAAACCAAAACTAATTCGGAGGATTCACCATGTCCATAATGATGGAAAACCATGGTGGATTTTTGTTTTACTATAAATCTTGTGTTACTTCAGCATGCAAATCATCTAGTTATTTTATTTTGCTTAGGGTTGACTCTCTACTGCAATGATTTAATTTTCTAGTCTTTAAAAGCACTTTCTCAGGCAGCTACCTGATGAAGTCAGGTGATTGCCCAAAGTTGGCTGGACAAAGTCAAACCTATACCTTTCTTTACTAAATCTCTACTAGTTCCGGTTTCAGACCTGTAGGTTTTAGCTGAAATTGTTTCCCAGGGAGTTTGAGGAGTCAAAATCCCAGCAGTGGCAAATCAGTTTGCATGTCTGGAGGAAATGGTAAAGAGCTGTTCACATGGGAGGCTGGGAGAGTCTCTTAGAGAAAACCGTTTATGTAGGTAAGATGATGATTCAATCCTGTGAAGATGTAGGAAAGAAATAAAGATGTTTCATTTGTTCTTTTTATTATGATCATCATCTGATTCTGCATCTGGTAACAGCTTTGTCATTTCCAAAATATTTGCAGATCCAGAGGTGCCACAGAGCTTGATGTTTGTGAGGCAGCCCTCTTCACTTACTAAAGTTACTGGGCAAAGTGCAGTTTTTCCATGTGTTGCCGTAGGATTTCCAACTCCATATATCAGGTGGACAAGAAATGAAGAGGAGCTTATCACAGGAGGGTGAGTAATGGCTAACATACATATTTTTATGTAATGGTAGGAATCCAGCCAGAGTTATGATATGAGAGCACAATTTGCTTTCTACTTAATTTTAATCCAGGAGAACAGAAGCTAGTTTTCAAACGCTGGAGGGCTTCTAGGCTGAGTGTTATGACAAGTAAGGTAGTTCATGAGACTTGTGGAACAATCTCATAGTATTTTTTTTTCCAGACACCTGAAACCAAGAAGTGTTATTTGCAACAGGAAGGTTATTAAGAATATGTTACTTTTAGATTGCCACTGGAATAAAAGAAACAATTAAGGGAATAAGGAAACTGCAGAAAAGCTAAGACTTCTTCATGTTGGCATATTAGGTGTGTGAAGTCCTGCACTCTCATTACTGTTTCTGCTATGAAGATGTCCAGTATGCATCTAAATATTCCATAAGAATTTAAGAATAAATGTTTAAAGCAGAGTTTCATAATTTTTCATTAAAACAGAATATTAAAATCTTGGGTATGATTTAAAAAAGTTGTGGGCTTTCAGGAGTGCATTGAGTGAAAACTACTGTATTATATATTGTCATTGTTGGTGTATTCATTCAAAATAATGTGGTTGAAAATATGTATAAAAAAGCAGAACAAGTCTTGTCAAGAAAAGCTATCTTTTTATCTATTTAATGAACATACTTCCTAGAACAAGAAAACTACAAACAGATACTTGAATGTCCCTCAAAGTCAATGGTAAGATTAATGTAGAAACAAGTTAATCGTGAAACAATGAGGGATAAAATTATATGGTGGCATGGTTGATGCAGAAAGCAGCTGAAGGAATACGCAAGTCTCTGCAGTACCAACGATAGTAATATATCTCTTTTTTGTGTCAACTCTTAAATTAAAAAATCCAGGGGCTAATAATTTGAACTGTCTTTATCTGGAAAATGCAAGCTTCTGTGGGTAGTGACTAACAGTTCTAATACCACGGAGAAATGATGTTGATGTCAATCTGGTGCCACATGATTTAGATTAATTTTTGGTAAATAAGAGAAATCATTCATGTACAAAGGATGGTACAGGCTCATTAGAATTGCACAATCAAATGTGATGAAATGTCAGAATAAATGTGCCTGGTAAGATCTTAATTGGTTTTTCTTCTATGTAAAATGATGTCATGTCATCTTTAGAAATTTTTGCTGCCCTCCCACCCCATCCTTCTCTAGGTTATGTCACATTCAGTGCACAAGGAGGTTAAAGCTCACTTACTAAAGCTCTCCTTTTTCTTTTTTTTTTTTTTTTTTGATACAGAGCCCAAATTTTCAAATCCTGCTCTGAATACAGTGCTGTTAATTCCCTTATGAGCTTTTCTGTGCATGTTGGCATGATAACTTCCAAGGGCTTCACAAATTTTTTTTTTTCTTTTCAAAATTCTAAGTGAGCAGTTTTATTGGAGAGCTGAGGCATAATATTAGTAAATGTATCTGATCTTTATATATGCACAATTTGAACCATGTATGACCTGATTTTTCAGAATATTTAGCATTAGTTTTTAGCATTATGTCCCTCTGTTAGAAGAACAGATTCTGGCTGACTTTGCTGGAGGTACAAATCCCTCTATGAACTGTGTGTCAAGTTGTCAGTATGAGCAGTCAGAATAATGCTTGCTCTGTGCTGTCACCAGCTCTTTGCTTGAAGCCACTTTTTCTTGAGCGTCTTTCCATCATCACATGGACACTGTGGTGGGGCAGGAGCTACAAGGCTGTCAGTTTTCCCAAACACAGTTTTACTAAACATTCCTTTATGATTCCTGCAAAAAATGAGCTGTGCATGTTCTCTGCCAAGCCCAAGGAAAGCCTCTTGCCAAACTGAAAGCTGCAGGTGCCTGTATGTTCTTTGAATACGCTGGTTGTTGCATCCTCTGGATGTGTATTCACTAAGGAGGATAAAGCTGGAAAGACAAAGAAGTATTCATCTTCCATTTGAAATAAATGTTTTCTTCTGCTGAAAGATAGAACCAAAAAGGAGTAAATAAGGGTTTTGAACAATGAAATTGTATTTCTTTTGACTTACTGTTACTTACAGAACCTTTCTGGTCTGGCTGCTGCTGAGTGAGTAAAGTTACCTTGCTGATGAAATTGATTTGTAAATATTTTTAGGTTTTTTTTTATTCTTGTTACAACACTTAGCTTTTTTTCCTTACAATGAATGTGTGCTCATTATAGAGTTTACTTTTAAGATAGGTAAAGGAGAAAATTTTATTTCCGCCCCTCCCCCCACCCCTTACTCTGTAGGAGTAAGCTTACTTTGTTGTTCGTTAAAGTCATCAAACTGTGCCGGAACTCTTGAGTCTGCTACTCATGACTGTGGCTTAACAGAGAAGAGATTCAAACAGCAGGCAACAAAAAGTTCTTAAACTTCATTTATCTTGACAGGTGGTGTATTATTCTTTTGAATAGAGTAACTGGAAAATCTCTAGAACTAAAAATTAAGATTCTTTTTTGGAGTAAAGCCTGCAGTTAGACTGCTGCAAAGTAGGTACCTTAGCTTGTTATGCATGGTCTGTTAATTTAATTACAAATTAAATAATTTAATTTGTATTAAAATCCCCTTTTGATATAAAGGTAAGACTTTTCTTATTAGTATGGATTTTCTTTATCCCAAGAAAAAAATGATCCTTTTCATCTGGACAGGTTTTAATACCTTCTGCCTGGGAAAAGCTCTTAAATAATGTTTTTTTGTCTACACACACACTACACATTAGCATACATATATGTATGTATACACACATGTATATACATATATTGATGCATGTCTGTGTGTATGTATGGGATTAGAAAACAAAGCTCAAATAGCATGGTCAGGTATGTCCCTAATTTTTACCCCTTATTAAGTCGTTTAGGGACACACCCTTGTTTTTACTTTTGTCTTTTTAACTGTGGCAATTAATCTAATGCAAAACTAAATGTTTTCCTTTCAAGCTATATTGCTAGGGAGAATATGTACAGGAGCCTGCATTTATAGGAAAAATAGATTATTTTTAAGGATTGGGAGTGATGGGTTTTTGGAATTGAATATTTGTTGTAAGATCTGAAAAAAGGGAAGGTGTTAAATTTTGATGGATTATTTGTTGAAGACTGCAGTAAGATTTATGCTAATGAATATATATGAGTAAACTTTAATGCTGGCAGTCTCAGCACTTATTCAAACAAGCAGCCTGTAATGCAATATATTGTGAAATTAGTTGCTGTGATAAAATATTTTCCAAAGTAATTCAAGTGAAAGAGAAGGAAGCTTTGATTGTTGAGTGAGGAACTGGTGAAGTTAATACAATGCTAAAAGTTTCCATTGTAGTAAAACTGTTACAGCTTCAAGGAATCATTTCAGACCTTGTTAACTTCAAGATTTTGAAGAAAAAAGTGATAGTTAGACTGCTGACTTCTGGTTACTCGTAAAGAAGTCCATCAAAGACGATGAAGTAGCCAGGTTCCACCCAGAACTTGAGGAACTCTCAGTCCTCAGAAGCTGAAGAGTAAGAAACTATTCGGAGGAGGGGTCTCTGTATGCTTGCACCATCCGTTTGCCCTTCTCTAGGCATTGCTGTCTGGCTTTGGTCTATTCCTTTGAGGCCTTTCTTACTGTATTCACAATTTCAGAGATAAAAAAATCACGAAGTTGAAAATTGGACCCGATAACCCGTCACTGGGAAAAACATTTGACTTGTGACTTCATTGAATTGGCTTACTAGTCAAGCTAATAATCTTCATGATACATAATAATTTACTCAAAACTACATTGCTGGGAAAGAAAGAAAAGGCTAAACCCTATTCTAGGTTGAGATATATGGTGCCAGTGCTTGTAGCTCCAAACGAGAGCTTCAAAATACGAAGTGAGCCTCTAGACTCGGACCAAAGCAGAATAAATAAACCCATTGTATGCGTGTTTGTATAATCTTGTGGTATAGGATGTACTGCTTATAGTTCTTTAGTTTAGGATTGGCACTATGAATGCACACCCGCCCCATCACACATGTGGTTCAGCAATGAGAATATGCATTCTACTTTTTCAACTGGATTTCCTCCATAAACTCAGAATGAATGATCTCTGCCAGGAACGTAGAAATACTGAGAGAAATGGAAGGTAGCAGGAAAAGCTACTGAGGCATAAAGCTATTTGAATATATCTTATGTCCTTTACAGAAAACTTTCTAAAGTAAAATCTGTCTTATTGTCAATATTACCTGATATAAAAGGCTCTAATGGAAATGTTATATAGAGGTTGAATAGTTTTTTCAGATATTGCCAACTCTGAACCTTTCATAATTTTTTTTTAAATGTCGTGTCTGGCTAAGGATCTTACTGCGTGAGGATCTGTTTGTTAGCAAATGCAGGAGTAATTTTGTGCTTTTGATGATTCTGAAGTTGAAAAGTGAAGTTTCAGGTGGGGTGGCTGCCAAGATGGATTTTCAGAGCTTGGGAGACAGGCACTGAGTTTTAGATGTTTGGAATATGATGTTCTGCTTTGAAACCTTTCCAGCGTGTGGATCAGTGTGTGCTCAAACAGCATATATTGTGTAACTTGATTTATATTTGGACATTTATATGGAAGAAAATACAAATGCATGTACTGCAACAAATACTTTAAAAGGTTACGGTAAACGAGGTGGTTAATCTGAAAATAAACAGTTGAAAGGACCCTGAACAATAACATTACATTTTAATAAGGCTATTGAAGTACAGCTAACTCTTGCTCTTATTGGGCTGTTGAATTTAGCAAAATTTTCTGTCATTGAAAAATGCCTACAGAAAACTGCAACATGGTTGTATGGTTAATCATTTTCTAAAGTGAGGAGATTACAAAGCTGAGGTTGCATGTGCAGCATTAATTTTATACTGTTGCTGTATGCTTTCAATTGAAGTCTTTAATTGTATGATCACATGCATATTCTTAATGCAGGGTTTTTTCCTTAATACTTCACACAAATGTGTGATATTTCTAATGATTACATATTATTGTTTGCCAGGCACTCTGAGTGATTTGTATTAAGTGAATTACACTTGCCCAACTCAGTAAAGGTTAAACATAGCAGAGTAATTATGGAGATTTTTCTGGTAGTAGATTCCACAAAATAATCTAATTTACTCTCTAATTTTATCTGCTGTACTTTACCAAGACTGCAAATAGATTATAACATGTTTTGGGAATAGTAATTTAAAAGAGTTAAAAAGAAGCCAAAACCTCAGGGTATAACTGTCTGTCTGAATACAGTAAATTAATAAAGGCTCACTATATTTCGTGATAATGAACATAAAAAAGATGTGTGAGTTAGGTATCCAAAGTAGCTCATGTAACTGTGCATTATGAGCGTGTAACTGAGGGCCGTATGGAATGTGTATAAAAGGCTTGAATTTCATTTTGCTGTTCTCTGACACTTGAATGATTAATCTTTGTAATTTTTAATGACACTTTAAATTATCACTTTTATATTAAGCTGATTCTTTGTCTCCAGTGTCTGAAATCTGATTGCTTCGCTGTTTTGTGGAAATGCTTCATTGTTCTTACAAAATAAAGATGTTTTTACTTTATTACAAAAGCAGTTTTGCTTTATGCCCAGAATTATTCCACAACTAATACATAAAAAAGGAATCACCAAGACGTCTGGCAGATCATTTTTTTCTTCCATGTTTTTAACAGTGGTGACCTCATATTAGATCACATATTGGTAAGCTCTGGATTCAACTCTAGGTTTTCTTGAGGAAAATAATCAAAGAGAATAAAAGTATAGCACACAATTTAGATGTCTGAAAACTATATTACCTTGTTTCTTGACAAAAAGGAGAATTCATGTAAATACTACCATGTTGCGTGAGATCCTGTATGACAAACTTTTGTTGCCTAATGTGACAAGGTCTAATAATTTTTTTTTTTTCCATAGTTTTATTAACATCTTAATTGCTGGTTAGTAACCATCATAGTCTGCTGCCTCACCATGCATGTTACTTCACTTTTCCAGAGGCTGGCTATGGGAAAAAGAGCATAGTAAGACATGTGTTGCTTTTAGATGGATAACGATGAAAGTTGGTGGATATCCGGGAAAAGGCACTATATGTCATCAAAATTACACTAACATTCTGTATAGTCTTTTATCATTCCTTTGCAATTTTGTCAATCTCAGCTTCTCACATCCAGTCAGTTTTTTCTGCACAGCCTTCCTTCTTGTTTTATATCCTGACTGTCAGTGATAGATCTAGCACATTTATCAATTGGCTCCATTTCTTTCTGTTTTCATCTTAGCCTTCAGCAGATTATATGCTACTCAGATGAATTTAATTTGCCACGAATGCTAAAACAAATAATCAAAGAAGCTATTTTACATAATAAAAGAAGATACAAAACTGCATATACGGATGTGTCAAAGTCCAGACTTGCCTTACTCATTTATTTTTCTTTAGGCTTGGTTTTAGTGCAGCCTTAACATGTCTAACATGCCATTCTCACAACTAAGTTTCAGTGACATTGTTTCTGTTCACCTTGACAGTGTCTGGAAAGCTCTTCTGTGTTCGTGGACTGCCAGTGTCCAGATGCAGACAAAGAGGTTCAAGAACCAGGAAGAGCATTGTTTTCTTAGATTTTTTAGATGGTCTTAAAACTTTCTTGGATTGTCAGATTTGCCTTGGAGGTGGTGTAGTCCAAGACTTCTAGGTTCAGTTTCTTTGTGTTAACTTCAACAGACTTGTTTAATCTAATGAATTTACCTGGATAGAATACAGGTAACTAGAATACAAGAAAGTGGGACAAGAGGGGAGAAAAAAAAGTGATACAGTTTCGGCAGCTCCTGTTCACATCTCCTTTTACAGATTTTTCGTGCTCGAGATAGGAGATGGATCATCCTTCATTACCTTTGATTACCACTAAAGCTCCTGTTTTTTCCTACATGTTAATTTTTCATCTGATCCGTGATAGGAGGCTTCTGCCTTTGTTTTGGCTGTAATGATGGTAAAATACATATAAAAGTAATCCAAGATGTATCTTCTCATATTCTTACTTTCTGTTTTTGAACCAATTCTTGCTATTTTCCTCTTAGCTAGGATCTGTTTGCAGTGCTATCCACATACTCCTCTACTATTTCTTCAGGCGTTCCTTTTCTTAAAGCTCACAATACATCCCCCCCGCCAACTTATATAGTCACTCAAATTTCCTACACTTCTTACAAAACAAACTTTTTGTAGTTCTTTTGTTACTATATCATGGAAACAGGATGCCTTTCCTTATGGTATGCCTGGGTAGGACATGTCCCTGGATGCTTTTAAGACTGGTTTCTTTCACTTAATTCCAATAATGATTTTTTTTTGTGCTGCTTTTAAATGTATTGAATCAGAAATTTGACCAATAATTATAGTAGTATCATAAATCAATATTAATGTGGTAATTAGGTGAGTCAAAAGGCTTTGTGTCCTAACAACTTACCTTTCCAAGCAGGTAAGAGCATTGGTTCTACTAACATAATTCTAGTAAAATTTCAAATGGAGAAAGCAATTAGGTTGATTTTTGTACATTGGCCAGCCTATAGAGACCAAAAAAGTTAATTGTTGTAATGTGCTATTCAGTTAATATTTCGAAAGAATTCAATCCATTCCTGCCCACTAAGCCATTGGTTGATAATGCCAGAAAGGAAGACATGAGGTAGACCTCACACACACACACACACACCCCCCCAGCAGCAAATAAGAATGGTTCTGGATCAACATCCAGTCATGATTTGTTGTCTTGGCTTGGGGTTTTTGCTAATGTTACTGGTATTTTATTGTGGACTCTTGGAGTGATGAAGAATCTTGGAAAACTTCTTGTTTTACAAATTTGTATCACATAAAGGGAAATGATGGTTGCAATGGCAGAAAAGTACTGAGGGTACTACATGTAGCACAAAATGCTACGTTTAGCATAAAAAGCAGATAGTTAAAGGCTGAATTATAAACCCTCCCCCCACCCTTTACATGTCAAAGGGAGAAAATTCTATACAGAAACTTTGCCAACTTGTTGAATTTGTCTTTTGAATTTTTTTTAAACCTGTATCTTATTCTGAAATCTTACATCTTACTGAAATGGCTATCTTTTTACAAAAAATCAATTACTATACTTTATATAATATACATTGCCATTCCTTGTGTAGTACGGGCATAAGTCTGGCATGTTATAGTTAATTTAACTTTTCAAGCAGTAAGTCATTTCAGCTGTATCTGCAAAATGTTTTGGGTGGTGGTTTGTTTTTTTTTTTATGATGTGGTTGTGTTATTTCATTTTTCTTAAATTTTAGTTGCTATTGTCTAAATACCTTGGATCACAATTGAGAAAAACTGAAGATGAAAGTGGAAGATGATGAGCTACTTGGGTGGAATTAATGCAGTTGAACTTAATTTTAAATGTGATACCAAAGTATACAATTTGACCATCTAGTTAGAAGTTCATCTCTAATGTGGCTCCTTGTAAGTGGCACCCAGGAGTATTATATATAAACACTCCTTCAATTTATGTAGACTTTTCAAGCAGAGGACTTGTGTGTGCTTCTCTGGTAACACTTTAAAAAAAGTCAATTTGTCCATCAAATCACCCATATGTTCTGTTTTGCACAGCTATGAAAGATTTCTTCTGCTTGCGGGAGGCAGTCTGGAGATCAGTGATGTTACAGAAGAGGATGCTGGGACGTATATCTGCATAGCAGATAACGGAAATGAGACGATTGAAGCTCAAGCAGAACTTACAGTTCAAGGTAGGCTGAATATTTAATTTTCAGAGAGAACAGATCTCCATATGACTTTTCACAAGAGTTTTATTGTGTGATCAGTTAAAGATCCTGCTGGTTTTTGTGCACCTTCTTAAAAAAACAAACAAACAAACAAAAAAACCCAACAAAAAAAAAAAACCCAAAACCCCCTCAAAAACCCCCCAAACACTCCCCCAAAACCCCCCACAATTCTGTTATATAGTGTTACATGTTACTCTGACCTCTTATCCAAACTGCTTATAATTTCATAAATATTCAAATGAGGAATTTGCTTATATAATGCATCTTGAGCATGGCTAAAAGCTGCTGTATATGCTCATATAATAGTACATGTGATCAATGCCATATACTTTTCTAAAGGAGGGCAAAGATCACAGTGTGGCTAGTCACATCTGCAAATTGACATACAGTATTACTACTTAGGTCTTCCTTGAAAAGGGCATATATAAAGTATTTTTCATAATCCTTAAATATACTGTTGTTTTTAAGGACTTTGACAGAAGATAAAAGCCGAGATACTGTAGTACCCTGATTCATTGTGTGTGTAACTGTCTTGCTTACTCTTGAAAGCTATTTTTACTAGAAACAGCACTGAAATGTTAATAACATGGATTTAAAAACATCTTTCTTTTGTAACCTGTGCAAATAAGGTAGACTTCTGAAAGTGCAGGGTGTAGGTTTGGCTTCTTCACCTTTCTTACATTTCATGAGGAAATCTGTCTCTTTATTAATTGGATCTTAATATTGGTTTAAGATTCTTCTGCTAGAATTTACTGGCATGGAAGAGTGGTTCATATATGCAAGTATCCTTGTAAGAGCTTGTTTTACAATGGATTGTGGTATTAGAAAGTTTGTCTTAGAAGTATGTCTGAAGGGATAAATTTAGTCACTGAACAACCATTAAGGAAGGTTTATCTGTAGATGAAACAGTTATGACAAAAAAAAGTATTGTTTTACATTGTGAGTTATCCCATGAAATGTTATGTAAAGGCATGCTAGCAGAATTCTTACTTCTCTATCAACAGAAGTCTGACAAATTTTGGTGCTCAAGGCATAATATATTTAAGGTGATATATTTTCCATGTCTTACGTGGAACTTCAGAAATACAGCTGTCTTTCTGGTATAGAAGAGCTGGAGAAGGTCAGTTGGGCTTTTAAAAAAAAAAAAGTTAAGAAAGGGCAGTAAGTTTTCAAAGAAAGTTGATCATTGAGCTGCTTAGTATTGAACAGCTAAATTCTTCCTCTTTAGGGAAATCAAGTATGAAAGAAGGTTTATATTAGCATCCGCAGCATTTCTGCATTGTCACAACTATATTTAGCCATGTCTGTGTAAAACTGAACAGTAACAAGGTGCAGAATTTGTTTCCGAACATGTCAGGGGGAGTTTTCTCCTGACAGTACGTTGTCAGTGCTTGCGTTGCACTGTTACCTGCTACCTGTAGCTTTACCTTGCATTTTATTCCCCACTGGTCTTAAGACTAGCTTTCTGAGCATGTCTTTTGCCTTCTGTAGGTTACTGGTACAGAAGCATTTTAGCTAGCTCTGCCCTTCTTTAAAAGTTGGGGAAGAATATCTGAAAAATGCATTCTCCGTGAGGCTTGTTCAAATGCAATATAGCTGTACTTTGACTCGAAGCGTTCTGAAAGCCAGCAAATTCTAGTCATGCAGAACCCCCCCCCCCCCAGTTTTCTTAGCTTGTTTCTTGGGCCAAAAGAATGGAGATAGGTGCTTTGTTTTTTTAAATACATGCTTGATGCTTCATAGCACTTTATGATAGTTTTATGCAACTCACTGTGTGCTGTGTTAATTCAGTTCTAACCTATATATTTTACAGAATTGGCATGAGGCTTTGAATTTTTTAGGCAATGGCACAAATTAATAATATTAACAATATGATGTAATCAAGCTAAGAAAGTAATCAATAAGACTGAAATTATAGCCTTAATTTAGGATATATAGCCAGGTCACTTGGGGGATGAAAGTGACTTTGAGATCACTCTTTGCTCCTTATCTAAACTAATGTAAGTGATTTCTTTATTTGGTTGTAAATATTTAGAATATGTTCTGCCAGGTTTTTTTTGTGCTGCAGTTTTCTTATATGCCTGGCACCAAAAAAAAATTCTTTTAATGCTTGAATATTAAAATTTATTAAAGATTATACAGAACGCATTTTGGAAAGTTGCATTTGTGATTTTACTACTTAGTTCTAATCTTAATTCTACTTTTCTGAGAGGTCACTGTAGAGAGTAATTGTATTTCTGCATTACTATAATTTGGTGAAGGGTTGAATAGTTTGAGTAACTGTTATCTGATCACTGTATCATTTTCTTCTAGACTAGAAAAATTGTCATATCTTCCTACCTAATAACTCCATGATTGTGCTTAATTTAAGCTTCTTATGTCATTCTTAGAAATTAGTCTGGCAGAAGTTCATACAAGAAATCTGTTCTTTGGGTATTTAATTCCCTCGTCTCATCCCTTTTTCTGCATCTCTCTTCAAACACCTGGGTTTTTTTGTTTGGAGATTTCAGTAGCATACTAGAGGGTTGTACTAAGGCAGTCAATCTTTTTTTCCTTCTATTAACATGTCACGATGGCAATTCAGTGAGACATTTGTAAATCTCTACTTAAGTGTGGGTAAGATGGCATTGTTTGACAGTGTTAGGACATTTAAAGTGAAATGGCGTTCCTGTTGATGCCTCTTAACTGAGCACTTTCCTTGCACTGCCAGGTATGGATTGACTGAAATTTGCAGGTAGTTAGAAACAACCTGCTTCTTCCAGTTGTAAGCTTAAGTTATGCACAGAATAAAAAGAATGCTCGTTAAATGTTGCTTTGCTCCAAGACCAGTCTTTCTATATTCTTTAACAAGGATATAAAAACCTGGAAGCTAACATGCTTCTCTTTGATGTGGCACCAGTGGCAGCAAGCTGCCATGCATCTGCTGCATTGGACTGATTACCTGAATACCCATTGTTCCATGGCAGTAAGGATGAAATTGCTGAACTTCATCATTAAAGGATAGGGTGCTGTGAAGATGCACATTGCCCCAAAGTGAGGAGACACCTTGAAGCAAACTGACAAGACTGCTCTGCATCAGAGAGTTGCAGAAAATAAAAGTTGCTGGTTATGTGTGTGCAAATTGGAGATTTCATGGACCCTTGTGTCATGCACCAAATTTTTGACTTGCACATTTCAGAAGTGGTTTGAATATGGAAGAGAACATGAAATGTCCTGGAGGAAGATAGTCTCAGCTCCTAAAGCTTAATATTTCTGAATCCCATCCACATTTGAGATAGTCTTTAGGGACAAATATCAAATGGATAAAGTGTGTGTACAGCTTTGTACTTACTCACTTTTCCTTGAGTTAATCTTGGGTGCAAGAAGCGTATGTCATCACGGTCTCAGGCCGAGCACCTTGAAAGCACCTTTGCCAGGGTAGGTTACTGCCCATGAAGGGAGGCAATAATTTGGTGCCTGAAAAACTATGGTACAAAGTAAAATTTCCATGAGCTGTGTTGACAGTGTTCCTTTCTCTTGCTGTCAGCAGGAGGAATGGTGCTGGGTACCAGATTTATTTACAACACATGTAATGAATTGAGACCATTGGAAAAATTTGTTTTGCTCTCATGAGCAATGAAAGAATCTGTAGTATTTCCGTTAGATAAGAGTGGAAAGTGATGAAAGAAAAGCTGGGGAAACAAGTAGTAAATGTATTTAAAACGTAGTCAGCTGGCTTCTGTTCAGTCTAAAACCTGCGGCCTGGAAGAGCCATAGTGGCAGTTAAATACTGAGAAGGTTATAAGTTCGTGCTTCATCTGGGAAATATTTCAAATTTATTACTGTGCCCAGCACCCCTGGGATTTCTGCAAATACTGTGACGTGAGTTAGATCACTGCATGAGCTTCCTGTCGCCTGTCTTGGTGCTTAGGTTGTAGATAATGAATTTAGAGGGATTTTTCTCTTTCAATTGAAATATTTACTGCAGTTAATACTGAACCAGAAAATAATGCACAAAAAAATTTTCTATTTTCATTTTTGTTATAAAATTGGTATGGAAGCTCTGTAGTCTTTAAAATAAATGAATCACTGTATTTGTGTGAGAAGAGTCAAAATTGCTCCTTTTTTTGTTGTTGTTGTCTATGTTACTACCTTTCAATGTTTTGTTTTTTTTTTTTTTGAAGTTGTGGAAAGTTGGCTCTTGAGTCATCTCAGTGGACATTCAGGACAGCATTCAGTGTCTGATAGCATATCTTAAATACTATGCATTAAATGCCTTGCTGTGTTAATGTACCAAAATTAAAAATAAAATTAAAGGACAGGTTTATTTTGGGCATCTGTAGTGATAAATTAGATGTTGCACGTGGCGGTAGGCTGATCACTACCTCATTTGTGCTGCCAGAGCAAATTGTATGGAAAAAAAAAATGCAGAAGTGGTGTTTTGATAGAATTATCAATTTTGTGCTTTGAAAGGATTGCTGGAAATATTTTCAGTGTAGCTGAAAAGCCTTATGCTAATGGAAAATCCGTATTCTAGCAAAAAACCCATATATTGCAATGTTGGTCTTGCAGTGTAAGAAAACAATGTTTTTGTGCTTTCTGTACAAGGGCTGGGTACTAATCTGGATAATAAAAGAAAGCTAGATAAAGTCTATATTTTGTCTAGCCAATAGGTTTTAAATTAATAGTCAGTGACACAAATCAGATTTGAAAAGATGATGTTATTACAGCACAGCAGAACTGTAGTTTGTTGAGGGTCTAGACTATCCCAGCTGAAACATTCCTCTGTCAGTGTAGCATACCTAATGCATTGTCACATGCAAAACCATCTCAGATGGTGAAATTGAGGGTCTCTAGCACTTGGAGCAAGGTTTGGCACACCCAAAAGAAGGAAAGAAACTTAGCTTTCATGAATCTGTGAAAGTGTGCTTAGGTCAGACTTTGAGAAGTGATCTGTAACCTTTGTAGTTGTTCTGCTTTACTTT